AACGTCCACCGCGCGCTGTTCGCCCACCGCTAATGTATCTACCAGATACCCCGCGTCCTCTGTGCGAGTTTACATTATTGTTATTTGTAGCAGGAAAATCTACTTCGGAGTCTTCAGATGATGACAGTTCTTATTCTATTTCAGAAGTATTGAGACGGAATTTTTATAGCAAATCACGATTTTTCACAACAACACCTAGAACTCTTAGACCACCTTAGAACTCTAAATAATTAAAAACAGGAGCCCCCGCATTAGTTTGTAAACAACTGTGTTTAGTACTTATCACTGTTCTCATATGCCGTCAATTTGACGATGTGTGGTCTTAGTAGGTATTTGTAATGGAATCTTATTTACTACACATAATTTAATAGTCTTTTATATAGATTTAAGATACAATTATCAAATTAGGAAAAGTCATAAAATATGAAAAGAACCAAAAACATTGTTCGTAAAATATATTAGAATGAAATCGCCGAACCGTCAAATTGACCGCCGTGGTCTTTCTAGTGATAAATGAATGTAGAGTATTGCTTTTCTGTATGAGAACTTAAGTATCTCGATCACTTAAGTATCTCGATCAATGCTTAGTACAGTGGCGATTGAGGCGGCACATTTGCAGCCTCATTGAACTACTTGTAAGAGGCAAGACGCAACACGGTCCGCTTTGGGGTGCCAAGATGGAAAAATAGAAAGTTTTCCCCTTTAAAAAAATAAACGGACCACATTTTCCAGGGTCTGGCGCTTCTGTGTCTAACAAAGGCGTAGCCAACCTGTGCTTGCAGTTGGCAGCATTGGAAATTGTTTTTTGCTTTGCTGCGTGCACGCTGCCACCGCAAGTTGTGCCATTTGCCACCACAGTAAGTCAAGCTGCCACCCAAGCAGCCAGCCAACTGAAGTTCAGTTCGAGATTACTTTGGTTTACATTGTGCAACGTTTGCGGTTTAAATATTGTATTAGGTTTGTCGGTCTGTGATTGGAAAGCAACTACAACTGCAACTGCACAGTTACAGCAAACTGCAACGGCACATGAATAGAGAAATTGTTGAATTAAACTTTCCTACCTGCACACACGCACACCAGTGCACATTTCATCTCAGCTTTGCATTATTTGTAGTTATGGCCAGCAAGTGCTGTATAGCTGCTGGCAGCCGAGCGCTCATTGAAAACCAAGCTACTTGACTAGGGCCTATTAGCAACGGTAAAGCATTCCCATTGCCCATCGCCAGGTGAAAAGACGTTCTCTGGGCAAGGGTGTGAGAGAAGTGGGCTAGGACGGACGAACGAACGATGATGGCGATGACCAGGCAATTGCTTAATTGCAACTTAAAGTCTATTTTGCCCGGTTATTTGCAGTAGATATTGCGTTACACTGAACTAAAAACGGCATTCCACATTTAAAAGAAAGTATGTCTGGATTGTGCAAAGGATGTGACCCACATTAGTCTAACTTGGAAGTAGAGCCTTCATTAGGTACAAAAATTATTTTAAGAAAAATTCTTTTAAAAAATGGAATTAATTAACTAAATTAAATAAAATTTATTTAATATATACATAGAAGACATGCTTATGTACGGTTTCAACAGCATACATCATCGGGTCTATGTGTTGAACCAAAGCAACAACAATAACAACATCTGCGGGCAGAGCTGCAGGCAGCGCATGGGTAGCGGTTTTATTTATGGCTATAACTTTATTCAGAATTGACCTATCATGATAAAACTTGGCATACGGACACATAAGCACTAACTGGATGTGACTCGCAATTTTAAGTTCGAAATTCCAAGAATTACGATAGTTATGGAAAAAACACGAATTGCGGGGGAGTGGGGGGATGTATCAGAAAAAAAAAACACAAAGTCGATCTGTCTAGGGCTTAGGTGAACCTGAATGTCAAGTTTGGTTAACCTAGCTATTGTAGTTGCTGAGATCGTTGCGCTCATACAAACAGACAGACGGACGGACGGACAGACGGACATGGCTATATCGATTAGTCTTTTCATCCTGACCAATAATATACTTGTATATACTATGTGGGGTCTGCCATTCCTACTTCTGTGTGTTATATACATGCGCACAAACTAGTATAGCCTTTCACCCTTTGGGTACAGGCTATAAAAACATAAATAAAGTTGCTTTGCATTGCTTAAATATAAAATTGCCATTGGTTTTAATTGAAACACCCTTTTTAATCGTACTTCTCATACCATTGTATTCATACTAGAAAAGCTGTCAAATATGAAGACAAAATTTACTTGTCCCTTAAGTCTATTTAAGGAATGCTTGTAATGCAAAGAATTCCAAAATTAATATTTTTTATACCCTGTACCCGTAGGGTAAAAAGGGTATATTAGGTTTGTGCAAAGTATGTAACATACTGAAGGAAGCATCTCCGACCCCATAAAGTATATATATTCTTGATCAGCATCTAGACATGTCCGTCCGTCTGTCCGTCCGTCTGTCCGTCCGTCTGTCCGTCTGGATGAACGCGAGGATCTCAGAAACTATAAAAGCTAGAATAACCAAAGTTGGCATCCCGATTCTCCCAGGTCCGAGTAAGGACGAGTTTATTTTTTTTTTTAATTTTCCCCCTTCCCCCGCTGCAAAATTTTATTCAATTCGGTCAATTCTAAGAAAAGTTATTAGAGAAACAAATTCTCGTCAGTACAACCCCCACAAACTGCAGCAACAAGTTCGCTCTTCTTCTTCCTCTTTTTGCTGCTGCTATGGGCCCATATAACTCAGTGACGGAAGTTTACCTGGGTACAGGGTATTACACTGTCGGGCTTGCTCGACTGTAGCGTTCTCTCTTGTTATTTTTATACCCTGTACCCGTAGAGTAAAAAGGGTATATTAGGTTTGTGCAAAGTATGTAACATACAGAAGGAAGCATCTCCGACCCCATAAAGTATATATATTCTTGATCAGCATCTAGACATGTCCGTCCGTCTGTCCGTCCGTCTGTCCGTCCGTCTGTCCGTCTGGATGAACGCGAGGATCTCAGAAACTATAAAAGCTAGAATAACCAAAGTTGGCATCCCGATTCTCCCAGGTCCGAGTAAGGACGAGTTTATTTTTTTTTTTAATTTTCCCCCTTCCCCCGCTGCAAAATTTTATTCAATTCGGTCAATTCTAAGAAAAGTTATTAGAGAAACAAATTCTCGTCAGTACAACCCCCACAAACTGCAGCAACAAGTTCGCTCTTCTTCTTCCTCTTTTTGCTGCTGCTATGGGCCCATATAACTCAGTGACGGAAGTTTACCTGGGTACAGGGTATTACACTGTCGGGCTTGCTCGACTGTAGCGTTCTCTCTTGTTATTTTTATACCCTGTACCCGTAGAGTAAAAAGGGTATATTAGGTTTGTGCAAAGTATGTAACATACAGAAGGAAGCATCTCCGACCCCATAAAGTATATATATTCTTGATCAGCATGACGAGAGAAATCGATCTAGACATGTCCGTCCGTCTGTCCGTCTGGATGAACGCGAGGATCTCAGAAACTATAAAAGCTAGAATAACCAAAGTTGGCATCCAGATTCTCCTAGGTCCGAGTAAGGACGAGTTTATTTTTTTTTTTTAATTTTCCCCCCCTTCCTCCGCTACAGAATTTCGTCAATAGCGTCTACATTTCAAATGCTACCTAAACCAAACTTTGCACACATAATTTATATATAATTGTCTACTGTTGTATAAAATTTTATTCAATTCGGTCAATTCTAAGAAAAGTTATTAGCGAAACAAATTCTCGTCAGTACAACCCCCCAAACCGCAGCAACAAGTTCGCTCTTCTTCTTCCTCTGTGACGAAAGTTTACCTGGGTACAGGGTATTACACTGTCGGGCTTGCTCGACTGTAGCGTTCTCTCTTGTTTTTTCATTTTTTTATTTTTATGCTGCAGAATCGACACGCAGATTTGGCCATAGCACGACAGTTTGAGGTTTTTTAGATAAGAGACCAATCATAGAAAACTTTTCAACTGCAAGTAATTTTGAAATCATGCTTTATGCGCCGTGATTCGAACTGAGTCATATACTCAGGAACGAACTCACATATAACCAAGTATAATTAAAACTAAATTTATGGTACTAATGAAAGGTATTAAAGGCAAATTATTTCTAATGAAATAAAATAACAAATATTTTCGACATAGAAAATAACTGTTGAAAAACCCGCTCCTAGAATGCACGCAGAACCCGTAATATCATGGAATTCTAGTTGTATATTTCCCAAAGCAACTAGAGACTAACGACAAGGCTGCTCTCTTTTAGCCTGCAACCAGCAACAGAATATGCTGGCGTATATTTCCCTAAATCATAGTTTAAATATCGAAAAGTTGGTTTACTTCAATGGGATCTACGGATTTTGTTAACAGTAGATCTAGATCTGAAAGTGGTCTCTATTGGACCACAACCGACTGAAAGCTAACATTAAAAGTAAAGAAATTCATTGCAAATGTAATGTGTACTGTCGTTGACAAAGATTTGCACATACTTTGCTCTGATTTACTTCAAATATTTTCCCCATTTTCTTGAGCTGTGTACTTACTGCATAATTTCCCACAACCCTCAGCCTACCCTCCCCCTTCCGCCAGACCTAAAACTATTTGTTTGTTGTTGCTACATAAAGGCACTGCTCGTGCAGTTCCTCTAGGAACGGCTGCTCCATGTAATGACTGGTATTTGTGGTAGCTCTGATATGAGTTGTGGCTGCATTTGCACGGCACTGGATACTGGCCACGGGGTACTGGGAGGAAGGGATAGGAAATGCATAGATAAACAGCCGACCGCTCTTAGTGCCGTTCTTTTAATACCTTGAGTTGAGACTCCGCTGCGAGCATGGAGTTAAAAGCTAAATGCCGTTCAGTTTAGGCGTTCAAGTTTAGGTGTTGTTGGGCTTTTTCCCAGCCACAAATTAAGCGTCTAATAGTCCCATACTAACAACAAAAACAACAGCAACGTTGCAGTAAGCTGTGTGCTTTCTGTACGGCAATTTAGTAGGCAAAGTTTGTCTAGCTTCAATTTTATTTAACACAGACCGACTAAAATTATTTGTTACAAAATGAGCGAAAGTACCGACTCCAACGCGACCGAGTCTGTTGTATCAGAGACAAAGACGGACGCCGCCCCTACTCCATGGCCGTATACGAGCGACGACTCTTTGGAAAATGTCCAAGTGACTGAGGATTCCAATGGAGAGCTGCAAATGAGTGAGCTGTAAGTGAAGAGTCACCATAAGGCAGTTCACACCAACTAACCTCTGCCTCCTTGCAGTGATGAAGATGTCCAGAAGATGATTACAGAGTGTTGTTCGCCTCCAACGGATAACCAACAGCTTCAGCTCCGGCCTCGCACTTTGAGCGAAATGGGTCTTACCATCGAAGGCAGACGAATCGAATGCACATTTGGATTGGATCCCAAGATTTTGGCCGACGGAATAACCAAGATGGTGGCAGAACGTGACTGCACCGACGCCCTAGTCGAAATTGAGGGCCATTGCTTTGAATGTCATCTATGTGTGCTGCAAGTGTTTACGGAATACTTCAAACGCTTCAAAAGTGGCGACATCATCAAAATAGAGGAAGCTGAAGTGACCGCCCAGGGGTTTAAGAACGTCTATGAATGGATGATACACGAAGGCAGCACCCCACAACGCGATGGTCTGATTGAAATGTATTTGGCCGCTCGGTTCCTGGAAATGCCCGATTTACTGAAGCAGATCTGGAGTCTCTTCGATGATGCCGATCTTGTTAGCGAGGCTTTGGCCTTCCAATTCTTCCTAGAGGCACTGCCATATAACACCCCAATGCTGCAGGCACTGCTAATCACACGCATCGGTCGCTTCTTCTTGTGCGCGGTGGCCAGCATGGATTTCTTGGACCTGCCGGCGGAGGCGCTCTACGAACTGCTGAATCACAATAACGTCTGCGTAAATTCTGAAATGGAAATTCTACTAAGCGCTCTGCGTTGGCTCCTGCACGACTGGCCCAATCGTAAAGAGCATGGTGTGCGAATATTGAGTGCCGTGCGTTTCAATCTAATGCCTCCTTGGTACATTAGCTCGCTGAAGTCAACCAACCAGCCCAAGGAGTTACAGGAACTGCTCGCAGCACCAGAACTGACCAAAAGTCTAAATCTGGGTCTTTCTTATGCGGTGACTCAGCACTACATCAGCGGTGATTCCCCCCTGCAGGATCCGCTCTCCATGCACAATGCTCAGCAACGTCAATGGGTCATCGACGAGAACGTGGCTCATCATCACCGATACGAGTGCGCCAACTGGGAGTATCCTAGTTTTCCCGTCTTCAACAAATATCTATTGTACATAATTGAAAAAGGGTCGAAGTACTGGCAAACGCTTAAATATGATCAGCAGGACAACATGCTGCCCTGCTGCAAGGAGGGAGCAGCTAAGCGTGCTGCTGCCACTGAATAAACAATTTTACAAAGTCTGTTGCACAAAATATTAAACCATTAAAAGTGTATGCAGAGAAATGTGATGAAAATTGTGTCTAAAATGAACTTTAAACATATGTAATTTAATTCTAATCAGACTGCAGTTGTAATTGGCCCATTTCAAAAAACGATTTATTGCTTTTATCTTAGTATTAACACAGTATACTTGGCTAACAAGAATAGCTAATTCCTACTCCTTCAAGGTTAATATTCTTTTCCACATTTTTAGTAAGTTTAAATTTGAATAAAGAATCAAAAATACAAACCGCATTCCATGCGGAGTAATAGGCCAACTGTATTTAATTTTTGTCAAAAGTACACAGAACAATTAAAAACTAAGAACACAGGATTAATGTTTTATTAAAAATGAGCTTATTTTATTGGAAATAATAAGCTTTCGAGTCAATTCGAAAACCCAGTCTCGGTGCCACAGAAATCTTAAGAAATAGCGATTTGACTGCATTTGCATTTCGTAAGTGTATATTATTAACTGAATCTATCTATAGTTACTTGTAAAACACACAGCATCCAAAACAACCAAAAAATAGAAATGCCGACTTGGTCCAAATTCAACATTATATTTTTCGAACATCCCAGCTTCCTGAGTTAAATCTTCTTTTTTGAGTAAAACGCAAGCTAAATATAAAATATATATTAGGCGTAAAATAATGCAATGCATAACAGGGGTATCATGTGAATTGCATTATTTATTATAGGAATCCTTTAATAATATTTTAAAATATGTAGCCAATTCACCAAAATTGCAAGCACGAAAAGAAAAATAAATATGTTGCCGACAGCTGGCTTGGAGGAGAAGTTCCAAAAAATGAAAACTCCTGAAACTGTGCGTTCGAGATTTCAAAAACCGACGAACCCGAGTTCGCTTTTAGAGTTTTTAGTGGCACCCCCGATTGAAACGTTTTTCATGATCAATACGTAATGCGTTTTCAATCCTTTTGAATGTCTATTTGTGTCTATGTGTTCAATACGACTACACAGACTTCTTTTTTCTCGAAGCTTAGAAAACCTGCGCACCTAGTTTGTTTTTTTCTCGATCTAGTTCTTGCCAAGATCTTTGCCTTTATGCAGATGGTCGAACGGACTTTCAGACTAAAGAACACGTATGAAGAATACACTTTTTACACACAACAGAATCTACGATACATTTTGACAGAATTTCTATACGAAATTAATTGTCAAATATTAAGTCAAACAGACTTCTTCAGCTATTGAATTGTCTTGAATAATTTCTAGAAAAAAGTTGAGGCTTTCTAATTGGAAAAGTTTCTCAACAATTAATAAAGATCGGCCAATTCGATCCAAATCACACGTCGAAGTCCTGCGATGGATTGGTTGCCATCGTCTAACAACCATGTTGTCGATTTCGATGCCAGTTTTATGCCTCGACCATCTACATAATTGTGCGCCCCATGTGTGCGACGCGTCGGTTGCTTAGTTCGGCCTCGGCTCTAAAACACACCCTGGGGTGCAATTTAATTCCTACAAATAATTTCATTAGCCCAGGCACGTATTGCGGAAGAGTGTGCGACCTCCAACTGGGCTGCCCGGCCGTTCGATGCTTTGATTTTGGTTTCACTTGAACATTAAGCGTTTCCAATTAGTTGAATGACTGCCATTTGCTGGATTAATTGTCAACGTTTATGAACTAAGCGCGGGTGTGTATCTGTGGGTGAGTTACAGTAATGCACAAATGTCTGTATGTTTGCTTATACATATTTGACAAACACACACACACAGCCATACCCCCACACACCCAAACATCCAAACACAATTACAAATGCATGACGCTTGTGAGCGTGGCTTTTAACATGTTTACCTTTAAAGTACATAAAACATCAATATCAATATAAACATGAACAGAGGTAAACAAATAAATACTCTCGCCATAGCTTCCATAGGTGAATGGCTGAAAAAATTGACTGCAAATGCTCAAAATATTGTGCAGAAAAATTTTACAATTAATATGCGCAAAAAATCGGGGCATTTGTATTGTGTTTTTGGTATTTTCATTTCAATAGATATTTCACATCATTGTATTTGCGGATTTCTCGCATAATGCGCCTTTTGTTGTTGTGCATTTTTCTGGCAAATATTTGTTTAACTTTTGTATTTTTCGTTTATAAATTTCATTGCAAGCGTTAAAATAATAATATAAATTGCCTTTGCAATTGGAATTGATTTGCATTGTTTGTACCACTCAGCTACCCCATTCGTTAAAAGAAATCATGGCACAAATATACATTTTTTGGCCATATTATTTAATTGTCTGCAACTAAAGCTGGCGATAAATCAATTACAGTGCACTGATTACGCGCACAAAGTGGCGCGTGAAGGTCTTAATTGTTTTTTCGGAGTTAGAGGGAATCGAGTCCTGTCAAGTGCAAGGCTCAACTTTTCCAGTTGCGATTGTCAGTAGCAGCGAAAACGGAATGAAGATAGATGCGAGGCTGGCAGTGCAATTGCTGCCTTCTAATTGACGGTGAATATGATTGATGAATGGCGAGGCCAAAGAAATGCTGCGCTTACAAGGGTGCAGAGGGAAACTAGCACAAGGACTGTTGTCAATTGCGGCATCGTCTAATGAGTTACAATGCCGACAGAGAGATATTTATTTATGAAATGAATGCAGTACTTGAGATGCGCATAGTAATTATAAGTAAGAGCATGTAATTGAAATTAGTATGTAAGTAAAAAGAGGGAAGCTGAGATGCTAAGATGTTGTCTGATTTGAATATCATTATTAAGACATTTAAATTGCATATTGCAATTAAAGAGGTCAGTCAAAGCTTCTGAATCAAAAGGGCTCCTCACACAGACTTCCAAGGCATGGATCAGCTACATATTGCAATCATTATTTGGCTGCTGGCTGTCCCTGTAGACCAGTTAGAGCATATATTGATGTGCAAAAGGAATATCAAGCACAGATATAGTGGTAATAAAAAATAAATACTATCTAATAAAATATAATAAATAAATTTTGTATAGATAGGAAAATGTTGGCATAGTCGAGCAAACCATTAGTGAAAGTAACTAAGCATGCAGGAGCGTATATGTTGAGTCGGTGGACAACAGGACATTCAAATTGCCAATTGGAATGTTGTGCCACTAGCTTGATTATAATATAGAGATAAGCCTGACAACAGTGATACGCTCTCCCAGCTTCCAAGCCAAGCATAACTAAAGATCTATACAACAGCGCCTTATTGCTTTTAGTTTGTTACATCATTATCTATTATTTTTAAATAAAGATTAAATGGTACATCCCATGACTATGAAGAGATATTTAAGTTCTTATGAGACACAGCACCGACTTCTTAACTCGCTTATATAATAATTTCATTGAAATGAAATCGCTCAATACTATTCTAAATACTGATAAGGGATAGCATTTAAAGTATTCATTAACACATTACCAATTACTGCATTACCAATGCCACATTCATTCATAAGTTAGTAGTTACTAATCAGCTCTGAGCCAACTTTCGAGACCTCACTCAACACTCACTCGTCATTTGCACTCATTTGTGGCACTTATAGTCAGAGCGAAAAAGCCGCCAAGCCACAAATACGCCGCTAAATTGCAACCTACCATTTGCAACAAATACCATCGACTCGACTCTTTGGACTGTGTCTGGGCTCGGGTGGCGCAGCTGGATAACCAAACTGATTTGCGCTATTCATGCGCAACTTCAATGGTAAACTATGCTATTCAAACACCCGCACATTCATGCCATTCATGCCAAACTGGCCTAAAAACTCTTTGGCCAAGTATTCAGCACTCGTGTGCTCCACAAGCCCAAACTTACGGCCGGCCAGCAACAACAGCAACGACCAGATCATGCCCAACCCCTCGCCTAGAACAAAAACAAATTCAATTTGGCTGCTCATCGGCGTTTATTGCCAGTGGCAAAAAACTGATAATCCTATTGCGGTTTTGTTGGCTCTCTTTAATTGGCGTCACACCCCGCTTATACATACACACACACACACACATAGCATACATACTCACCATAATGTGGCATGCGACAAACAAAAGCGGCTTTTGCTTTTCATGTTTTGTGGCGACTGCGTTTTTGAGGCGCCATTACTCAAACTGAAATGAAGGAAATGTTGAATGTCCTGGACGGCAGAAGGATCAGCTCCGAAACTATTCGACGAGCTAGGGCACAAACTTTTGGGCCATTGTTTCAATTGTCAAACATGCCGGAAAGTTTACTTTAGTTCGGTTTTGTTTCTCGAAAATGTCGCCCGCCTGCTCAAGAGTGCTTCCTTGAGCTTTAAGGACGTTGCGAAAATTTAAAAAGTAAGGTTGCCATTACAGTTTGCCAGTTAGGCATTTGCAATTTGATTTGATTCCATCAATGTTTAATTGCTTTTTGATTTGGCAAAATTGTAATTAAAATCAGCGTCATAAGTCTTGCGTAATGCGAAAATTAATTGCCCTGCGATTATATCACGTCGCTTAAAGCAACACACATCGCCACTCTAATAGGACACTACACTCTCTGAAAGCAAATTCATAAAATAACAATACATAATTGCACGTTACCTAATGTATCACTGAACAAAAAAAAGGACACACAGAGTACTTACTAATACGGAAAGGCGAATTATTAAAAAAAAAAAGAAGCAAATTGACAAAAATTGTCACTGCAAAGAGTCGGAATGCTACTAATCCGTCCGCAAATATCAAAAGAACTGCAGATTTTCCAAAACTAAAAAGAAACTAATTTTCCCCTAATAGAAAACGTACTAAGAAGGTGTTATATTCAGGTGGCGATAAGTGTATATAAGACCTTCAGATAGCTATATATGTGGTGCACTGAAAAAAAGTGAATTGAATTAATCATTGAAAGTGGAGCAAATGTACAATGAATTATTACCAAATTCTATTAAATTATTCAATTATTCATTTTGATTGGGGAACGCTTTCTGTGCAAATATTAATATTAATTGAATGCTGCTTAAGTAATTTCTAGTGGTTTCAAGAATTCATATGAGTGACGACTTTGTCAGAGCTTGGTAACCGGTGTTCTCTCCGTTGTTAAAGGATATTATTTAGAAAATAAATTTAAATAGATGTAGCTCTTAAGTGGTTATCGGGTCATATGCTTAAAATTATGAATTTTAAAATAAGTGCGGAATAATTTAAAAGTGGCTTAAACACGTTTTGATGTTGCTTTTGGTTAAAATATTTATAAATATATAAGTTTAAAATTTATAAAAATCATCACCAGAGAAATTCAAACCTTTATTAAATCAAT